TTGTTAACATGATGAGAACAATTCAAAGCCAAATGCCACCCTGGGAACAAGTGTTAGTTTCTCCCTGAGCTGTGCTTGGGTTCCCCCTACATCTGAGTCCCTTGGGGGCATCTCAGTGGCCCCTCAGGTCCTGACCCAGCAGGGAAAGAGGTCCGTGGGCCCCAGGGAAGCTGGGCTGGGGCCGCATTGGACGCTCTCCAGCTCCGGCCCTTTAGCTGGACATGCAGACAGATTTCCCTAAACCAGCAGCGTCGCTGGGGGTCCCGGTCTCATAAAGGAGAAGGGTCAGTGACGGTGGATGGTCAACTAGACGATGTCCATTCATATCATGGAGCACAATAGCCACCACTGACCATGACAGATTTCATTAGATTGAAAAGTATTCACAGCTCATTATGTAAAATCAGTAAAATCCGTGAATCCTATCACATTGGTTAAAATCCGTGAATCCTCCAATCACATTGGTGAAGGGACAGAACCAAAGCTCAATAGTGTAATCCCTGGCCCTTCTTCCCTGTCTTGTGTCTTCTCTCTCCCTCCCTGGCCTCCCCCCGCAGTTCCTGATACTCCTGTGTCTGATTCCAGGGGAGAACTCTGAGGCTGGATCCCCCACCGGCTTAGGGGAGGTGGAAGGGCAGCTCCTGGTGGAAGTGGTGGGAAACTGCTTCTTTAAGGTCAACAACCACTTGGACCACCTGTACAAACCACGGCCCATAGAGGAGATGGTCAGATCTGGGATTGAGATGATTGGTACGGAGATGGAGTACAGTGATCTGAGCAGGAACTGTGAGCACTTTGTCACGGATCTGAGATACGGCAAGGCCCGCAGCCGGCAGGTAAGGCCCTCTGTGGGGGGCTCCCTCTCCCTTCTGGAGGTCTGCTTTGGGTAGGGATGAGAGGCCTGTGCAACCACATGAAAAAATTACCCCGAATGATGCAAAATTATACTCTCTGCTTCCTGCTGGCTGGGAGTAAGGATATCTGAGAAGAAATCAGTGGTTGGTTCCTGATCCACTCAGGGTCTTTGAACAGGTCACTTCCTCACTAGCCTCAGTTTCCCCATGTCCAGAAGGAGGGATGTTGGAGGACCTCTGGGGCTTTGGCCACCTCTATCCTTTTAGGATCCTTCGCCTCTAAGATCCACTGTAAAGGCAGCTCCTGACGCCCTGTGTGCTGTCAGGGAAAGTCTGGGCAAACCCTGCACCAAGGCCGCAGAGAGCCCTCAGGCATGAAATGCTCAAGGTCTGTGGCCCATGTAAGAGCTCGAAGACATGTTATGTAAGGTCTGGGCACATCCTTACTGCTCTCCTCTTCTCCCTCTTACCAAAGCACAGCTAGTAAGAGTCAGAAGCAGGATTCAATCCCCAGTGCTCCCGGCTCTTCCTGCTGAACCACAGCACCTCCAGGGCTCAAAGCCCCTGTGATTTGGTGATGGGCAGCCTGGATGGAGGAGATGAGGGGAGGAGGAACCAGTTTGGGAGGGAAATTAAGGATTTGATGCTCATGTGGAGTGTTGAGGTGACCAGTTCAACATCCAGGTGGACTTGGTGAGTAGCCTTTGAATGTGTGAGGCTGCTGTTCGGGTCTGAGGTGGGGCTGGAGATAGAAGTTTCCAGGCTGCACTTGGGAACAGTACACACAGCACAGTGATCCCTGAGGCCTTGGTTTCCCATCCTCTCCCCTCAGCTCTGCCACCACCCTCATTCTGCAGAGCTGGAACGCAGGTAGAGCCCTAGCCGGTTTGGTCGCTGGATAGAGCTTCGGCCTGGAGACTGAAGGGTCCCAGGTTCGATTCCGGTCAAGGGCATGTTGCAGGCACATCCCCAGTAGGGGATGCGTGGGAGGCAGCTGATCGATGCTTCTCTCTCATGGATGTTTCTAACTCTCTATCACTCTCCCTTCCTCTCTGTAAAAAAGCAATAAAATATATTTTTTTTAAAAAACCCAGGTAGAGCATGAACCACAGAGCCATTCCCACTTTCACCCACAGAGATCTGGCCCCAGGAGCCCACACAGAAAGCGCCTCCTCTGTAATCCCTGTCAGGACCAAATGGCCTCACCATGGAAGTTCACACTGGATAAGCAATTGTAAGAAGAGAAGTCTGGGGGTTGGTCAGGAAAACATGGGGTCACATAATGGGGAATAGAATGGCCCTGGATAAAGTCATGGGGGAAAGCTGAACAAAGAAGTGAATTTCAGAGAAGCTTCCAGGCTAAATGACCACTGTTGGATGTTGGCATGGAATGAGGGCAAAGGGAAGCTGGCCCCTGGTCTCAGATTGGGCGGCCTGGGGTGAGCACTGCAGGAGGTTTGCTGAGGTCAGACACAAACAGGAAGAAAAACTGAAAAATTCTCAAATCAGGAAGCTGTGGTGCCCTGGGCAGGGACACTGAGGAGCAGGGAGGAGGTGGTAAGGGAGGAGGGAGGGAGGAAAGGGGACCAGGAAGGGTCGGGGCAGAGAAGACCCAGTGCAGCCACTGCCGGCTGAGTGTCCCTGGGCAAGTCCCTCTACCTCTCTGATCCTCAGTTTCCCCAGCTGAGCACGTGGGTGCTGCTTCCTTCCCCTGGGCTTAGGAGGGTGGCAGTTATGGAGGAAATGTGCCAGCAGAGCCTGCTGGGTGACTGTGAGCCCTGTCCCCAGGGCAGGAAGCTGGGCAACAACAGGAGGGCCTTCTCCAATGCTCAGGTGCCCTTAGGGTGCTGTCACCTGCTGTCTGTCAGCTCAGCATCTTCAAGGGTCCATATACCGGGGCTGGGAGGGCAGAGTGTGAGGTGGTGGGTGTTGGGTCCATGCACAGCCAGGGCAAACACATGATGGAGACATGAGGGTCAGTTTGTGAGAGCAGAGAAGCTCAGACTCACCCTGACAGTGTTGTGGGGGATTGACCGGGGCCCCAGCCTCAGGGAAGGGGGTTTACATACAGACTGTTGTGCTATCACCCTCCAGGTACGTACACGATATACCTGCATATGCGTGTCTGCATCCTAGTGTGTGTAAGTACATGCAACACATAGCATATTCATGCACAATAAATACATACACACATGTATTACACACACATTTCTGGACAAATCTTTATGCTCCCAATTCCAAGGTCATTTTTCCAAGCTTCTTTTACTCACAGGGACACCTCTGGAAGCTACAGCAGGCTCAAGACCTCACAGGGGACTAGAGTCCTCCACACACACACACTCTTCCCATGGGGTGAACATCAGTAAGCAAATCCCCAGTTGGAGCTGCAGCTCCCTGTGATCTGTCTCACCTTCCTGGCTGTTTTCTTGCAGCTTCGTGAAGAGCCCAAGCCTGGAGACCTGATTGAGATTCCCCGCACTGGCTCCTCGCACTGGGCCCTCTATGTGGGCGATGGTGATGTGATCCACCTGGCTCCCCCAGGTAAGGGGAGTTGAAAGTGTAAGTCTCCAGAGATTGTTTACATGATGAGAATAATTCAAAGCCAAATGCCACCCTGGGAACCCATGTGGGTTCTCCCTGGGCGGGGCTTGTGCTCACTGCACATCCGTGTCCCTTGGGGGCATCTCAGTGGTCCCTCAGGTCCTGACCCAGCAGGGAAAGAGGTCCGTGGGCCCCAGGGAAGCTGGGCTGGGGCCGCATTGGACGCTCTCCAGCTCCGGCCCGTTAGCTGGGCGCGCAGACAGATTTCCCTAAACCAGCAGCGTCTCTGGGGGTCCCGGTCTCAGGAAGGGACTGCCTCTCAGTGCTGTGTCCTGTTGCTCAGAGGATGTCACAGAACAGGGCGTCCTGAGAGGGTTTCCTGAACACCCTCCACGGAGCAGCTCTCCCAGGTCCCACATCACAGAGAGTCTCACACAGACGCACACGAGCACCTGGAACCTTGATGGAC